CCTGGAGGTTATATATAGTATGCAGCGAGTGGAGCCGGGGACACGATGTCCCGTGCTTGCATCCATGTCAGCTGGTTCCTCGAGATGCATCGTGCCTGGCTGAAAGGAAAGAGATGGTCCGACAGGCTGAGGGGCGGACACGCTTGAGAGTTCCAGAGCGTCTGCAAGGAGCCAGAGCATCCGGGAACGAGGAAGCGTTGGGGGGGAGTGATGCAGTGGCGGTGTGTGCCTCAGCCTGTGTTCGTAGAGCTGAACCTGTTGTGCCATGGACGACGGCCAGGCTGCGTGTATCGCCTTCTCCGGCAACGAGTACTCGTAGCTTGGCGCTGGGAGTGGCGCGGCAGGGGCCTCGGCGTACACGATGGTAGGAGGTCGGTGAAGCTGGGTTTCGATCAGCCGCGCTTCCGTGGCGAGGGCCTTCAGCTGATGCAGCGCTGTCATTGGGACAGCGGCAGCATGAATTGTATTCGACAGCCGGGGCTCGGCCTTGTACTGCTGGATCTCGCTCCATGGCTGGCTTGGCCTGCTGGCAGGCGTTGCTTGTCTTCGACGCCACGGTCGCTGCGCTGCCGTCAAGGAGCTCGTATGCATACACGTTTCCACGTGCCGGGCGGCTAGCGGCGGCCATGGTGTGTGGCCCAGCCATTCCGTATTCCGTGGCTTCTGCTCCCGACTAGCGCTTGTGGCCTCGAGCCAAATGCCTCGCATGCGCCCGGCTTGCACTGTGCATGTCGGCCACGCACGTACCGTCCAGATCGACCGTTGTCGGCCCGACTGAATGGCGACAGGCGGCGATGTTGGTCTCTCAACTGGTGCACCTGTACAAGCTCAGCTGCGAGTGGGCGCCCTCTTTTCATGCGGGTCGGATTGGCGTCGTCCGTCCCGCTGTGCTGCTGTCTGTCCTGTTGAGGCATGGCTGGCGCTCGGGCTCAGGGGTCGCAGCCGCCGCTGAGTATTTCGCGCAGAAGCCACTTGCCGCAGCTTACTTGCTCGTTCTTGGCGCTCACGGGGATCTTCGCATAGGCCTCGTCGAAGAACGCCTTCTGGCGGATGTAGGCGACGGGGCCTTTGAAGAGCAAGACTATGGCATAGTCGCCGGACTCCGTCCGGAACTCCGACAGTTTGCGCTTGCCTGCGTTCGTTCGCAGCAGTTGCATCAGCGTTCGGAGGGTTTCCTTGGCGAGGGTGCCTTCAGCATCTGGTGGGCAGATCTGACGGAGGGTCCTGTCCCCGGCCGTGGCTGCGAAGGTCTGCGCTAGCTCCAGCATTTCGAACATGGGTGTGGATCTCGGAAACATCCTGCGTGTTACTGTCTGCGTCTGGAAGTGGACATCGGAGCTGTCGCTTACTTTGATGTTCATCACGCAGGGCTCCTGTGCCACGTAGATCCGCAGCGTGGCCGCGTTCTTCGTACTCAAGGCCATCAGCTGGAGCTCCACCTGCCCTGGGTCCGGGGCCAAGCCCGGACCAGGGAACACGACGTCCACGCCGTGCGGTTTCTGGTCTAGGAGCTGGAATCCTGGTGCATGCAACGCGTCGCAGAGCCGGGCGAAGGGCACCTGCGGCATGTACGGCTCCCCACCGCGTAGGTTGACTGTGGAGAGTAAGTTGCCACTCACGGCGGCGATGAGCTTGCAGTGCACGTGACCGGGTAGGGGGTCCTCGAAGAGCCCGGCCGCAGTGGGGTCGCCTGTTGTTGTCGGAGGGTTCACCTGGGGCAGGCGTGCCCGCAGCAGGGTCTCTCTTGCGAAGTTGACGGCTGACTCCAGCTTGGAGCAGGAGTGGTAGGCAGCCACTATCATGTCCATCTGCGGGTCTTCCGTGTGTGCTAGGATGAACGTCTTCAGCTTCTGAACTTCGTGCAGGAACATGGCTAGGGTCTGCTTTGCGTCACTTGGGCAAGCGGTCTTGCCCTTGCCGACTCCTTTGGTCTCGTTCTTGTCAAAGCCTTGGAGTGTCATGGCTTCGTGCGAGGCACAGGCGGGCCGTTTGAGCGATATGTCTGCGGTCCATGCGCCTGCGAGGCTGCAGGCCAAGTTCTACGCAAGCTTTCTGATTACTTTTTCCCCGTCTGGATTTTCACATCAGCTGTGCTCCTGCGGAGGCTGGCACGATGCTGTCGGGCTGAGGTGGTTGGCTGACACCGCCCGCATCGTCCTTCTTTCCCGGCCTCTCATTTGCCCGTCACTCGCAGCGTGGGTGCCGCTGCCTTGTCTCGGTGTTGCTGAACTCTCTTGCTGATCTGTCGGGCTTGGACCTGTCGGAGTCTCGAGCTTGGGCTGTTCGTCCTATGCTTCGGTGCTCGGGTTGGCTGCTTCCGACGACTGTCGGCTGTGGCTGTCGTCCGCATTTGCACTTGGTGCTGCTCGCGCATTCAGCCTCGCTTGGACGACTTTCTTTTGGATCTTCGGGTCTATAGGCCTGCGGCTATGGCTGTGTGCTGCTGCTATGCCTAGCTGGCTAGTCTTGGTGTGAAGGACACCTCCGGCTTGGCGGCACCCACGCTTGGCGTTGCTGGCTACTGCTGGCCGTCTGTGTCGCGGCCCTTCATCCCGCGGAGGATCGGCTTCTCGCACCTTGAGGTTCGGGGCGCGCCTCGGAACCAGTCTGTTCGCAGGCCAAGCAGAGCGCAATCTGACCGAGGCTAGGTAACGAACACGGGCCCTCTGTGCGTACCAGGCGCGGCCTTTGCCTGCAGCGAAACCGCACTGATAGCAACCGTGGCAGGGGGAGTGCGTGATCTTGTAGCTACGGCTTGTTGGCAGCGTGTCGTGCACGGGGGCCGGTTTCTTTTCAGTCGGAGCCTCGCGGGCTTTGGCTGCGGCGGTCAGGTTGGGGGCCTCCAGCGGTGTTGGTGGCTGAGAGGCCTTGCCGGGGTCGCGGGCTTGCGGTGGTGGTGGCGAGGGGCTGTGGGGGGAAACAGGGGGGGTGCAGCTGCGGGGGTCTTCCGGCTGCATTTCTGCCGGCAACGTTGTGCGCTGACGCTTCGAGGGAGGTTCCTCGGCCTTGGCGGTGGACGGCAAGGCTTGGAGGATCGTGGAGGGCGCACTGCCGAAGTGGGCCCGGTCGTCTATACGATCTCTCAGGTCTCGCAGGCCTGGTCCACTTCTGGCGGTTCTGTCGTGCCTGCCTGGGTGTTAGCGAGTCGAAGCAGTCAGCGGCTGGCTAGACGTGTCTGCCTCCGAGGTACCGTGCCGCTCTCGGTGAGGGGCTCGGTCGACAGGACATGGGGGGCCTCTCCTTCCTTACAAAGCTCAAGCCCAAATTTGGCAGACGCTTCGGACGTGCGAGCAGCGGCTACTTAGACTGGAAGGTGAGGCCGGGCGGCGGCGAGCTCACTGGTGGTTGCCCGTTCTCGATCTGCTTGGTTTACGGCGACGGCCATGGCTGTGTCGGGGTCCTGTACGGAGGTGCTGTCTGTTCTGCTTGAGCAGCATGGCTTTGCACGGCGGCGGTCCAGAAAACTTGACGGGACCTGTGCCAGTAGGGGGGGGGGGGCGTGCTGAGTGCCGGCGGACGGCTTATAAGGGTTCTGGAGAGTCTGTCCTGCTGGGCGGCGGCAGCACCAGCAGGGTGGTGAACGTGCGACTGTCGCTCGGGTCTTTCACCAGCTTTCTGTCCGTTGCTGTGCTTGCGTGTGAGCCGGGTCGGTCTTACGCTTGCTCGTCACTGGAGTCCTCGTCGTCGATGATCGGCTCTTCCTCGCTGCCCTCTTCGAATCCCCATGGTTCCATGAGGTCGTGAATGCCGTTCAGCAAGGTCTCCAGCATTTGCCCGTTGTTTGAGTATGCAGCAACGTGCACGGGCGTCACGCTGTATTGATCCCTGGCCTGGAGGTTGGCTTGGTGTTCCAACAGTCTTAGCACCGGTTCTATGCTATGCTGGCCGCAGGCGTAATGTAGGGCTGTGCAGCCCTCCGCGTCCGCGACGCTGGCTTGGGCTCGTGCTGTGAGGAGAACGGCCACGCCGTTCCAGTGGTGTCTGCTCGCGGCTTCCAAGAGTGCTGTCTTGTCGGTTTCAGGGATGCGTGTGTCGGTGGCCGCTCCGGCTTGCACGAGCATTGTGGCAATCTCGACGTTGTTGTTGGCCGCTGCCGCATGTAGGGACCGGTCGTTGCCCGGCCGTGTCAGGTCCGCTTTGGCTTCCAGCAGCATCTCCACGATCTCCGTTCTGTTGCATGTGGCTGCCACTTCCAGGGCGGTGACTGGCACCCCGCCGCAGCACCGGCACATGCGCGCCGGTGTCGTATCTGGATGTTGTGGTCGTTGGAGGATGGCCTCGACGTCGTTCGGCGGGCTCCGGCTGACGGCGTCCATTAGCTCCTGTTCCACGTCTTCCGATTGTGGGATGTAAGCGAGGAGGACGACGAACACCTTCTGGATGTTGGTGTCCAGGCTGTACGTGTCCGGCAGCGGCTCGCTTTCTCGGTCGGAAAGCAGTCGTTGTCGGAATCGCGGGAGCCCGAGCAGCGTGCAGAGTGCCCGCTTGACGTGTCTGGCCGTGTTGTTGCCAGCTGGCAGGTGCACATCGGCCAGCTTGTTGCCGGATGCCGCCAGGAAGGCGGCGATGGTGCGAACGGGTGAAGCCATTGGCGCAGAATCGGGTGCTGGGCCTGACGTGGGGTCGTTCTTTGGAGGTTTGAGCCAGACTACTGAGGCCGCAGGGTTGACTGACAGGCGGTGCTGCAAGAGCTGTTCGAAGGTCGGGCTGGCTAGTTCACGTGCTGTATCCCTGGTCTTTCCGCTTGACGCATGCGCACTGCCGGCTCTTGCCTGCGGGCTTTTTTGTCTGAGCTATGACGCTGGTGCCGGGCATGCCCTCGCGTCACTGACTGTGCGTGGCCGCGCAGGCTTCGCATCCGCAGGTCGCTGCACCCGTCATCCTTCGACCTGATAGTGCGCGTCATGGCATGGCTGGATTCGGTATAGCTTACGTCTGTTAGTTGTTTTTTGGGACCCTGGCAGCCGGGAAGTGCCAAGGTGGATGCTGCGGATTCGTTTTCACTGTCGCAGAGCTACTTCGACTAGATCGAGCAGGGCTACCGGCTGCTTGGCTTGTGTGCTGTTGTCCTCCGGGCAGATCTCTTCGGCGGCCTCGTGCAGGGCGAGCTTGCTTGGCCGTGGCCGTGCCTTGCTGCAGTTCCGACCTCGGTGCTGTCGCAGGAGCGTACCGACCTTGTGTCCTGCAGCTGATGGAGTGGTGCGGCATGTGGAGCTGTTGCAGACACGGTGGTCCTCCAGGTACGCTTGAAGCTCTTCGTCGAAGCGGCGTGCCTGGAAGGTCGTGCTTGGGGACTGTCCTTGTGGCGGCAACGCGGCCTCTGCTTCGGCCCTGGTCGGACCCACGAAGCGGAAGCCCTGGGGGATGTCTGGCTCGTCGGTGCGCCGTTGCCGCGGCATTTTCCATGGCGTGCGCTCATGTTGCTGCGCGCCTCCATTGCGACTCGGTAGTTGTACTCCTTCGATGGCATGTGCTGTTCGGCAGCAGCGGTTGCAAGCATGCTGGCCTGCGGATCCAGCCAGTCGGCTGTGGCCCACATGTAATCTTCTCCTGTCATGTAGGATACCTGCGCGGAGTTGGGGGCGGGTGCTTCTTCCCCTGGTCGCCGTTGCTTCGACGCACCTCGAGGTCGTCGAGCCAGATGAGGAAGGGCATCGTCCTTGGTGCGCGCTCTGCGGATGCCGTTCTTATGATAGCATGCAGCCCTTTCACACACGGGGCTCTTCGGGGTTTGTGATGGCCGTGATATCAACTGCCCACCGGAGTTGCCCGGTGTCAATGGCGCGGATGTATAGGTTGCGCACGGGCAGGAGCTGGTAAGCCGAGAGCTCGAGTCGGCGCGTGCTTCTGCACTGCATGTTCAGTTTCTGTCATATGATGGCGAGCAGCATATGGACACACGGCAGCAATTGGGGACTCTCGGTTTTTTTTCCTTAGTGTTGCTTGGAGCGATGGTTGTTGTCCGAGGCCGTCGCCAGAGCACTGCGTGTGATCGCGACTGCGAGCTTTCCCACGTACGTCGCCATTGCTGCGTCGCCAAGGCGCTCGGCTCAGCAGGCGGAGGCATTCCTTTATCGCACGCGGCGACGGCGTTGCCTGGCGTGCTTTTCCGCGGCCTGTTGCCGACATCTCCGAGCCAGCATCAGATGCTTCTCGAGCTTCTGGAGGCCTTGTTTGGTGACAAGTCGTCCGTTCTTCTGTCGTCCCCGCCTGATGCTCGCGACCACTCCTTGTACCTGTCGGAAGATGCTCTCCCAGTCGGCTCTGGCTGCTTCGGAGAGGTCGCCTCGTCAGGGTTCTCGCACAGAGCAGTTCTGTCTTTGGCGGAGGTTGGTGTCCGTTAGGTGCCTTGAGCTTTTTCAACCAGCTGGTTCACTGCATAGCCGACCGTCCTGTAGAGACACGGCATGGCGCGGAAGTCCATGGCTCGCTGCCGGGCGAGTCTACCCGCAGGTGTCTGCTTGCCAGTGCCCGTTGCTGCTTTCGAGCCGACAGGCGGAGACAGCGTGCACGCTTTGGTCTGTGACTACACACCTTCCCTGCGCACCAATGTGCCGCGCGCTTGCGGTTGGCTTTTCTGTATCTCGGTATGTCAACTGCGGCTACCGGGAGTCCGCGTGGGTCTGCGGCCTTGCTTGATCTCGGTGCAGTCGAGTGCGATTGGCCTGGGCCTGGTGACTGTGTTGCCAAGCAGAGCGCATGTATCGAGATGCGGGGTCTGGGCAAGAGACTAGAGGTTGGAGTGAGGTAGCGGCGGTCATGGGTACGTGTAGCTCGGCCAAAAATCCTCGGCTCAGTCCGAATCTTCTGTATCATCGGCATGTTGCAGCGTGCGGGCTTGTAAGGGCACGACGTTGAAGTCCAGGCCGTCTTCCCTCGACCATCGGCACCATCCCATCGTCGCCGCTCCATGACAGACTTCCTCCTGTGCGCTTGAGCGACATGGTTGCGTGGTTTCCTGGCGACACGTACTCACTGGATGGCTCTTTGCTGCTGTGCTCTCTGCGTGCATGTATGCACAGCTGTACAGGTGTGTTCCTGTGTGGTTGCTTGCTTTGCTGCTGGGAGGCGTGGGTGTACATGTACCAGTTGCCGCTGTGCCACCACCACCACTCGCCGTCTGAACTGCCGTGCCGCTGCTAGATACTGCTGGCGCGAGCTTGTTGCTGTGTCGGCTTTGGCTTTGGTCCCCGCCTGAAGGGTCTTCCGGTCGAGTGGCTGCTGTTGGTCGATGGAGACTGGCCCATCTTGAAGCGGCCTTGTTTTTCTTTGGGTAGGGCGGGTGGAGGGGCGGGAGCGGGGTTGAGTGGGGAGGTGGGGCATGTCGTTCTTTGTTTTTGGAGCTAGTGGTTCTACTGTTCTGGCCTCGCTGGACACTGCAACGACGGCGGGAGCGAGGGTGTGCACTGCGGAGCCAAAAGCTCTTCGGGCGTGGTTGGTTAGTTTGCTGTCGGGGCTTCTGAGAGAATTCCACTCCATGTAAGGATGCGGCAGAGCTTGATTGTCTCTCGAGTCGACCTCTCTTTCTTACCGGAAGCCCGCGCGTCGAAGTCCTGCTACTGGTGTCTGCCCAAGTCTAAGTTCGGGCTTCATCCGCACTCAGCTTTCCGGCTCTTCTTGTTGGTGGGCTGGCCCACTTTGCATCGCTTTTTGACATGGCTGCGGTGGGTCATGTCGGGTCTGGACTTCGCCGCTTTTCGCATGCTGCGGTGTGTTGACCCCACTTCCTTGGTGGGCGCAGCCATTTCCGCGCGTAGCTGTGCTGCTGTGGCCATGCGACATGCTGCGAGCGCCTGTTGCTGTTCGGGACTTTCCAGGATGTTGTGGACCTTGACCCAGCTCACGCTGCCGCGGCTTCTCCCGACGTGCAAGGGTTCCCGCAGGATCAGAGGGTCTTCGAGGAGCAAGGCATGGACGCAGGCGGCTTTGTTCGCGTAGCGCTCGATCCTGTCTGGGGCGACTCCGTGCTTGTCCTCGTGCAACGCTGCCTCTGTCGTGGTAAGCATTAGGCACCCACTGACTTTCACGCTGCCCCAGCAGCGACCTGTCTTGCTGCCCAGCAGAAGAACGCGCTTTCCCAGGGCATCTTTGCAGGCGCTCTTGCGCAGCTCCCAGACTGTGGTCCCTGCGAGAATCTGGCACAAGTACTCGGGCCTGATGGTCAGTCCGCTGCTGTGAATCACTGCGTCGGATGCCTTCCGGGATCAGGTGGTGCGACGGGGAGAAAGAAAGGGAAGCGACACAACTTCTTTGCGTGCCGCACTTCTTGTGCGACATCGCCTGACTTGCCAGCCCCCGAAGTGGCGTCATGACCTCTCAACGAGCGACACGAAAGCTTGCGCCGTCGGTGTGACCGAGCGAGTGCCTTCTTCTTGGCAGAGCGGCAGCTGGGGTGTTTGCTATAGTTTTGCTGATTTCGAGCACAAAAAAAGGCTGTCGCAAGCGCCACCGGTTCTTGCCGCTTGCGTGGCTGTTTCGCTTCATCTGTCTGCGGGGGCATGGCTGACACCTCGTGCTGGTCGTGACGTCTGTTTTACCTGTCCGAGGTGCCTCGTCTGGTGTGAGACGCGCCGGACTTTTAGAGCCGTGCTATTGGCATGAAGCTCAGACCCATGCGATGATTATCGCGGATGAGCACGGTGTTCGTCTTCGCTTGCAGCAGCACCTTCGAGACCAGAGCGTCCTGCGAGTTTGAGGCTGTGCTGGACTGGCTTTCTTGCTTGTGCAGATCTGCGGGGTCTGGCCACTTGCATGTCATGGTTGTCCTTCCTGACGCGGAGATGACCCACCTGGCAGAAGGTCCCCGATTTGATGAGAAAGCAGCCGATGTACTGCGATGCACTAGACACGACCCGGTTGCTCTGGCCGTGGCAGGGTGTGGTGTCAGTATCCATCGTCGGTGTTCACCTCTTCCCACGTGACGCTGGGCCTGCCCAGAACGGAGCACGTGAAGTGTATGTGCTGTGCTGCACAACTGAGGTCCAGACAGAGGCTTGTGGTTCCGCTCGGCGATCCTTCTCACGCGCATGCTCATGGCACAGATTCGCACACGCGCTCGGCTTTCCGTTTGAGGTTTTTTTGTTTAGTTTTTTTTTACCTTTACCATCGCCCAGGCCTCTTCTTTTACACCTTCCACCCCTCCCACTCCCTTTTTTCTTTTTTTTTTGTTTTTTTTTTTGTTTGCTTGTTTTTTTTTTTTTTTTTTTTTTTTTTTTTTTTTTTTTTTTTTTTTTTTTGAGTTTTTTTTTTTTTTTTTTTTTTTTTTGTCTTTTTTTTTTTTTGTTTTCTTTTTTTTATTATCTTTTTGTTTTTTTGTTTGAGATGAGCAGCAGGAGCTCCACCCGGATGTCGATCTTGCCGGCATTGTCCGTGGTCTTTGTTTGTGCCAGTGCCTCGACCGTGCCGAGGAATTCACTTCCCGTGGTAAGATCCTGCTGGAGGCCCCGGCCAGCTTGTAGAACTCGTAGGGACGCACGTGCGGAAGGTCGCCCATGAGGCGCCAGACCTTCTCGCGGCCCTGTGCGAGGCACACGGTCTGCCGAGTTGTAGTGGCACTTACAGGCACCTTGAGGATGTTGCCGCTTTTCAGGGTTGTCACGAACCTCCAGCCAGAGAGAACAGACGACTGAACGGAATGCGCGGGCACGACTTGCGCCTCTGGTCGTAGGACATGTTGTGGGAGCTTAAGCTACCACTCAAGGTTTCCAGGCAAGCAGCTGGAGCAAGTGCAGGAGCGCTGCGGCAGGTGGGCTAGCTTTATCGCAGCATGTCTTGCCGACACGCGTGACATGTTGGCAGGGCCCGACATGTGCACGCAATTCTCAATTTTAATGCTTGTGGCCACGCGGGTCCAGTTTGGGTCCGTCCGCATGCGGACTTCGGGTGCTTCTTTGGGTCGATGCGTTCGGCGGCATCCTGGGGGCTTGCACAGAACGCTAGCTGGCTGATGAGAGCGTGCATGCATGTAATAGTGACCTGGCGGCCTCTGTGGTCGGGTGGCGATGTCGGCCATGCCTTGGCCGCCAGATCGTGGTTTCGACTGTTCAGGCTGGGCGGGTCTCAGAACGCTCTTCAGGGCTTGGCTGGGTCCTGGATGCAATCGCAGGATGGACTAGGAACTGGCACCTGCTTCGCTAGCTGCAGGCGCGTTGCGAGGGTCGCTGCACCTTGGCTGCTACGCCCGGCTTTATTGGACGTGCCGATCCTCTGTTTCGCTCTTTGCTGCGAAGGCGGGCGCGTGCATGCCTTTTTTTTTCCGCGAGCTTTCCCGCGAAGACGGTCTGCCTAGGGCCTAGAGCAAAGGCTCTCCCCCAAGGCTCTTCGCAAGTTGCGTGCGGCCATGTCGGCTTTTCTCCGGAGCCTGCGAGTTGCGGGTCTTGCCCGGATTTCCTGCGACCATACTATGAAGTTATGCACTGGCTCGAGGGAGCAGTCGCTCAGCACCAGCCGCACGGGCTGCGTGCCCGACTTCAGTCACTCTGCCTTCAGTGCCAGTCTCTGTGCTGTCTTGCGCAGGTGTCGGAGTGTCACATTTGATCGGACATATCTCACTGGCTGCTGGATGCGGCGGCCACTCAGCGTGAAAAAGTTGGCCGTGAGGGTGTCGCGGCACGCCTCTAGCTGGCACTGCACCACCAGGGGTGTCTCCGCCATCCCGGCACGAAACTGTGCGGGGTGTTGAGTATGCAGTGGGATAGTGCTAGTGTGGCGGCTAGCCTTGGTGTGTTTGTGCTTGCGTCATGGGTTACGGTGACCTAATTAACCTGCTGCTGGCAGAGCTCCTGCTGTCTGTGCTGCTCATGGTGCCAAAGCTTGAGCCCAAATTTGCTCTACGGCGAGTGTTTGCGTTGCGGCAGAGAAACCTGACACTGGAAGCTGACGAGTTCAGGAAGAATAGCAGGGGTGTTGCGCGAGACAGTGTTTTGATAGTGGGAGCGTGCACGCATGTGATTGCAGCCTGGCGGCTGCTGCGCGTTTCGGCCTTGTTGGCCGTACCTTGGCGTCCAGATCAGATGATTGCTAGCACCTTGGAAGCCTAGCATGGACAGATGTGGACATGCACGTGTTTAATTGCAGCCGAGTCCCTTGCACCAAAAATCAGTCCTTGGCTTGGACATGTTCAGTGAATGCATGCGTGGGAAGTATGAGAGTGTGAAGGTCTTCGAAGGCACCCCCCAGCGTACTTCGTACTGGGATGGCCTTATTTTAGGCGCCTTATAAGAGAATGTCCCGCAGCACACGCTCCCTGCTTCCCCGATGTTTCTGGTCGGATTGAAACATCCTTCG